GCCCACGTACCCTCTATCTTAGACACCTTAAGTCATAGGCGCGATCGTGCCTCGCATGGCTTATTTCGATCCAACCTTATTTTTTGTCATTTGCAAAAACCAGGGCGGATACCCTTGTCAGGGTATTCGCGCCGACACCGCGACCCTCAATGTCGCGGCCACGGCTAAGTACCGGCCCTTCGAGCCCTCCGATCGACCAAGTACCCAAACAGATCACCCACACACTCAAACCGACAAACACTCAGACATGCATGTAGGTCGGCAGGTGTGGACACGCGCAGACTTAGGAAACGGGCTCAGGCCACTAGGCGGACTGAGCTTCACTCCACTACTATATACATACTGAGTTGCTCCCCTTCTATTCAAAGTGGGAGTTAGCTTAGTAGGTTTTGGTGATGCTTGACAAGTGGGGGATGCGGGGATCGAGGCCTACTGCCCTCTGAACTAGCTTCCTTTTTGGAAGGGGGGCTCTACTTTTGTTTGCTCCAGTTTCGGACGGGCGGGACTCGAACCCGTGACTTAAATATAAGAGTTAGGAGTTGTTAGTGCCCGTTATGACAGTTGGCACAACGGGGTGGCATGTAGTTAGATTTCTTTGTTTTCCTTTTATTTTCCTTTTTGTTTTATTAGTTAGATTAGTTTTATTAAGATTTTTTTTATTTTTTTTTCTATTTTTTTTCGATTCCCGTGATTGCCTTTTATGAATATGCCTTTATGAATCTGCCTCAGAACCCGGGCAGATTCGGTTCAGCCGTGTGGCAGGGATCTCAGACTGGCCGAAGTCACGAAAGACTGGCTGCCCGTCGTGAGAACTCGCTAAGCTGCAGGGCGCAGCGAGAAGCGGGAGAATGCGCGGAGGAGAGGAGGAGATCACCGCGTGGAGGAAGAAGACGACAGCATGGGGGAGAAGGAGGAACGCGCGATAGAAGGAGGCGCGCGGAGAGGTACCGCGAGCTGAGAAAAGAAAAGGCGCGGCCAGAAAAAAAANTCACGAAAGACTGGCTGCCCGTCGTGAGAACTCGCTAAGCTGCAGGGCGCAGCGAGAAGCGGGAGAATGCGCGGAGGAGAGGAGGAGATCACCGCTTTGTTGTTGAAGACGACAGCATCGGGGAAAAAGAGGAACGCGCGATGGTAGGAGTCGCTCGGAGAGGTACCGCGAGCTGAGAAAAGAAAAGGCGCGGCCAGAAAAAAAAAAAAAAAAAAAAAAAGGCAGCGCGCGCGCAGAGGAAGTGCACGAAAGAGAGGAGGTAGCGCACGAAGAAGAAAAAGAAGAAGAAGAAGAAGAAGAAAAGAGAGGAACGAGAAGAGAAGGTCGTGCGGAGGTAGGAGGTAGCTGCGCGGAGGAAAGGACAAAAGCGCGCAGAGGAAAAAAGGAGGATCGGGCAGAAGAAAAGCGGTACGCAGGGAAAGGCAATGAGAAAAGTAACGGGAGGAGTAGTGGTAGGAGAAGAAAGAGGAAGAAGGAGAAGGAGGAGGAATAGAAGAAGGAGAAGAGGAGTAAAAGGGGAAGAAGGAGAAGGAGAAAGGGGCAGGGGAAGAATACGTACCTAAGCGTGCGGTCAGACGACGACGACGAAGACCAACTGACTATGATGACGATGTTGAAAACGGTGACGGCGAGGGAGCGAGAGAGAGAACAGGTAAGTCTCTAACCTCGCGGCGACCTCATGCTACTTCCCTCGATAGGATGAGCAAAGCAAAATAAATAAATAAATAAATAAAAATCGAATGAATCTATCCCTACAACGTGGAAATATACACTACCACACTCGTTTGAGTGTTTATGTGTGTATGTGTGTATGTGTGTGTATGTGTGTTTGTGTGTGTGTGGGTGGGTGTGTGTGAGTATATGTGTGTGTGGGTGTGAATCGCTCGATCAACTCATGGTACTTCCATCGATAGGATGAGCAAAATCGAACGGATAGATCCGCTAGAATATGGAAATATATGCTATTGCACGCACGTGTGTATGTGTGTGTGCGCATGCATATACATGAGCGTGTATGTGTGGGTGTGAGTGGAAGAGAGACAACTGGGAAGGAGAAGAGGTAGAGGAAGACTGCACGAACGGGAAAGAAAAAGGGAAAAGAGGGAACGAAGAAGGAGAAGAGGGAGAAGGTGAAGAGAAAGATGACGACTACGAGGTAGGAAATCTGACGAGGGTACAATCATGTCCGGGTGGCGACGACAACTAACAAGGAAGGAGAAGAAGGACAAGGGGTAGGAGGAAAAGCGAAGAGAGAGTGAGAGAGAGAGAGAGAGAAGCGGGGGGGGGACTTTGCCAAGTTGTCCGTTATGTGACGCTGAGAGAGAGAGAGAGAGGGAGAGGGAAGGAGAATGTATGTGAGAGAGAGGGAAGAAGAAGGGGCGCATAGTGGTTCCGGATGCATGTGGCATCTGTGAGTCGGGGATCGAAGTTGTGAGTGAGGCGAGAGACATACCTGGTGGTGGAAGCGTGCGGCATTGGTCGCTGTATGCTCGTACTTCGGAGAGCTGTTGTCGTCAACATTCGGCATTGTAGTGTAGGCTAGATAGGATTTGCCATCTGTAGTTTGGGCACTGAGCGCCAGGTAGGATATCAACATTGGCTCTTCATTGATGATGATGATGAGACTATTCCAATATTGTCGATTATGACCTTTTGCTGTGCTCTTATTTGTTGTGAACCGTGATGCAATTCATCTTTTGGTTCGAGGTCACGACCATCTGGACACATGTGTATGATGCAGTTTGATGTCTGAAGTTCGCCATCACTCATCTTCCCTGCTACTACTACTATTATTATTATTATTATTATTATTATTATTACTTTTATAATAAGTTTTATTATTAGTATTATTTTCATTTGTTTTTTACTATTTGCAGATAAAGTCTGCCCCGTTATTACTTCACGTACATGAGAAAACTGGCGGCATTATAGGGTAGGCTGGGTAGGATCTGCCACCTGTAGTCTGGGCGCTGAGCGTCAGGTAGGATGACGACACTGGTTATGGGTTAATGATGATGAGACTATTCTCACATTCTCACTTAGGAGCTTTCGCTGTGCTCTTATTTGGTGGGACTGGTGATGCAATTCTGTTTTTGATTCGATGTCACGACTATCTGGTCACACATGTATGATGCTGTTTGATTTCTGAAGATCGTCGTCCCTCATTTTTTCTTGCATTTTATTATTATTATTCTAGGTTGTTTTACCGGACGTCCGGGACCCCCCTGACCGTCCGGGATGTCCGACCGGACGTCTGGTCGGACGTCGGACCGGACAGGGGTTGTCCGACCTAGCGCAAAAAAAA